ATAATAATAATAATAATAACAATAATAATAATAATAATAATGGTAGCAATAACAAGTTAATATCACTTGTACAGTTCAAGGTGCGTGAGATTTTTTACACAGTATGTTTCATAGCTGATTGCATTTCAAAATGTCTTTAAGGAACGTTGGAGTTTCACTGTTCTCAAAAGTGAAACACCGAGTCTCCTTTTGACTTAAGCCGTTAAAGGAAACTTGTTTTAAACTACTAATTCAGGTAAGTATTGCTAAGATTTACAACGGTAATAACTTATGATAATGGTAATAATAATTATAATAATGATAAAATAAAGAGATTTAACAGTATACATTCCACGAGATAGATCTTCATGTCCACTGATTCACGGTCGAATTGGAATCTGAGGAAGAAAATCAAAAGACCAAGAAAAAAAAACCGAAGCAACGACGAGAACCAACAAAAAACTCTACCCACATGTGGCGTCAGGTATGGGAATCGATCCCAGGCCACATCGGTGGGTGGCGAGCGTTCTCATAACTGTGTCATCTCTGCTCCCCTCGTCATTAAACCAGACAATATCTTCTCTATGTAAGGGGAATAGAAAATACAACAATACCTTTTCAGCTGGCTTGATTATAGAGCTTATCTTTTTCAGAACTAATGGAAGTCCTTCTCTGTATCGCAACTGGAAGTTATCAAATAGAACTACTCCTTGTTGTGGCCAATCACGAGACGGCCGGCTATCAGGAATGACTCTCTCCGCCTAGAAATTAATGAATTGAATGGTATACATTCGAATGACATTAGATTTTGTCAGACATTTAAGAATAAATATTAGCGAGAAAAACATACAACGTTTCGATGACTCCATGTCATCATTCTCAAGTGAGAAGAGAATAAAAATGAAGAGCTAATTTTTCCCGTACGAAGGTGACAAACGTAAAAAGTTAAAAATTTTTCAAAATTTAAATAAATAATTGCGCGTGTTGAGTTCATAAATGTAAACTATTAAATAAATAGTTTCGCGCGTATGGAATCTGATTGTTTGTTCAAAGATGATGTTTACCAACCTCAAGTATCCCGACCACCTCATCAATTCCACCATCTCTCACTTTGTCACCTCAGTTAGGT